GCCGGGTGTGGTAACTCCCACCTGTAATCCCAGCACTTTGGGAGGCCGAGGCAGGAGAATTGCTTGAGCCCAGGAGTTTCAAGACCAACCCGGGCAACATGGCGAGACCTCACTCTGCAAAAATAAGAAAATTAGCTGAGTGTGGTGGCTCTTGCATGTAGTCCCAGCTACTCGAGAGGCTGAGGCTGGAGGCTTGCTTGAGCCCAGGAGTTCAAGGCTGTAGTGAGCTATGATCGTGCCACTGCACTCCAGTCTGGGTGACAGAGCAAGACTCTGTCTCTCAAAAGAAAGAATAAATGAATAATAATAAAAAAAACCCTGACTGTATAAAGGAAAAGATAAAAGTCTTCAGTTTTCCAATTTACTCTCATACTACTGTCTGGAGGTGACTGCTGTCGAGCAGTTGTCTGTGCTTTTCCTGATATATCTATGCATTTACATATGCATGTATTTATAAACTGTTTATACAAAATGAATCACACTATATATACCTAACTTATTCCTTTTCACACTCCTTTAGAATTCTAATGTAAAGGAAAACCAGTTTATTTAACCAGCCTTTGATTGACAGTGATTTCCAGCATGTCTATTAAAAATAATGCTGTGAGTCGGGCTTGGCGGCTCAGCCTGTAATCCCGCGCCTTTGGGAGGCTGAGGTGAGTGGATTGCCTGAGCCCACGGGTTCGAGACCCGCCTGGGCAGGTGAGACCTCATCTCTACAATAAAATCAAAAAATTAGCCGTGCGCCTGTAATTCCGGCTACTCGGAAGGCTGAGGTGGAAGGATCGCCGGAGCCCAGCAGGTCGAGGCTGCGGTGGCCGGGAGCGGCCACTGCACTCCAGTCTGGGTGACAGAGTAAGACTCCAACTCAAAAAAAGAGTAATAATAATAATGCTGTGGGCTGAGCGCAGTGGTTCACGTCTGTAATCCCAGCACTTTGGGAGACTGAGATGGGTGGATTGCCTAAGCCCAGGAGTTCGAGACCAACCTCGGCAACATAGCGAGACCTTTTCTCTACAAAAAAATTTTAAAATTATCCAGGTGTGGTGGTGCACACCTGTAGTTCCAGCTACTTGGGAGGCTGAGGCAGAAGGAACGCCTGAATCCAGGGGATCAAGCTGTGATCATGCCACTGCACTGCATGTGGCGAGCTGTGATCATGCCACTGCACTGCAGCCTGGGCAACAGAATAAGAAGCTGACTCAAAAAAAAAATAATGCTGTGATTAATATACCTGTACATTTCATGTACTCATGTGAGTTTAACTGTAGAGTTAATGCCTAGGAATGTAAGGTGGTCCTATAGTCTATAGCCTAAACCAGGACAAATGCTTATTCAGAGGGGCTCCTGGGTATAGGAATGTATACTAGAACTTTCTCAGAAAACCAGGTGCATTTTTACCTAAAAATGAAACTTTTGCTAAGTCAAAGGGTGATATTTAAAATGCTAACATACACTTTGGGATGCTGAGGTGAGAGGATTGCCTGAGCTCATGGATTCAAGCCCAGCCCGGACCACTTGGTGAGACCTCATCTCTACAATAAATTTTTTAAAAAGTTAGCCAGGCATGGTGGCATGTGCCTGTAGCTCCAGTTACTTGGAAGGCTGAGGCAGAAGGATCCCCTGAGCCCGGCAGGTCGAGGCTGCGGTGGCTGTGAGCAGTGTGCCACTGCACTTCAACCTGGGCTACAGAGTGAGACTCTGACTCAAAAAAATAAAATAAAATAATAAAATAAAATGAAATGCTAACATTGCCAAATAGCCTTTTTCACCTTGGTTATACCACATTATCATCCACCAGCATGTTAAGGGCTTCTGTTTCTTCAAACTGTCAGAATTCTGAGCATTGATCATGATTCTTGCCAGATGACTGAGCAAGAAATTATGACTTCTTTTAATGTGCACTTATTTAACAATCAGCGAAGTTGAACATCTTTTCATTTATTATTGGCCACTTGCACTTCATTTTTCTTTTTTTGGAGACAGGGTCTTGCCGCCACCCAGGCTGGAGCCCAGCAGTGTGATCATAGCTCATTGCAGCCTCGATCGCCTAGACTCAAGTGATTCTCCCGCCTCAGCCTCCCAAATAGCTGGGGCTGCCAGGCTCCACTAATTTTATTATTTTTTGTAGAGACAGGGTCTCTCTGTGTTGCCCAGCTTGGTCTCAAGTTCCTAGACTCAAGCAACCCTACCACTTCAGCCTCCTAGGTAACTGGGATTACAGGTGTGCACTGCTGCACCTGGCTAAATCTTTATGTAGTGTTTTCTTTTATGACATTTGGGCTTTATGTGCATGACTAAAGGGGGAGAAAAACTCCCAAAAGTAGCCAATTTTTTCTTTATACTTTTTAGTTTCTTCTCCAAATTAAAAATTTTGAAATTTAAAATTTTCAAATTTATTTTGCTTAAGAAATGAGTCGAGTTTTGCTGATTTCCACCCTGTCTAGTCATGTTTCCTAACATCACTCACGGAATAGCACCGCTCTCCCTCCTCCCTCTGTTTGAAGTGCAGATGCGTCTTTGCCAGCCCCTCATCTATATTTGGGTCTATTCCTGACCTCTCTCCTTCTTCTATGGATCTGCTTGAACTTCGAACAGTAATATTGTGCTGCATTAAGTCCACAGTCTTCACGTCTTAATATCTGGTATGTCTACTTCCTCACCTTTGATTTTTTTTCAGATTTCCTCTGATTGTTCTCTCATATTTAAACTCTTCCAGCTGAACCTCCCCTCCCCCAGCACAGTGATTTCTTGAGCAGGATTGCACTGGACGTGTGTGTAGATTAAGTCAAGGAGGATTTCTGTCTTTACATCGCTGAGTCTCGTTCTGGCGTAAGCTCAAAGGGAAGCCTTTGAGGTCTGTTTAACTACAGGGTGGGTGGCCATCAAGGGAAACACGGACACACATGTGTAGCGAGTGGCTTGTTTAGATTATATTACACTATGTGAAATTGTGCCATTTCACTGACAATGTACGGTTCAGTGCACTGGGCACAGCTGCAGTAGATGCTGCATTCCACTGATGCCTCCATGTGCATCGGAGAAACGCTGTGATCAGATAATATGTGTCTCTGGCTTCTCATTGGATAAAACTGTCTTTGGCTTATCCCAGAGGTAATCAAGAGGGTACTATCTATTATCCCTGTTTCCTGATTCTCCGGCCGCTTTGCGTACTGTACCTAGATAAAATGCTGGGCAACGGGGTATGGTCCTATTGCAGGATCAGGTCCTATACTTTGGGGGGGGGGGGGGTCCTATTGTGGGGACAGGTTCTGCCTACCCAGAAGTGGTCCTGTCTGACTTTGTGCTGCTGTAACAGAATACCATAGACCGGGTGGCTTATGAACAACAGATCTGTATTTCTCAGAGTTCGGGAGGCTGGAAGTCCAAGATCAAGACGCCAGCAGGTTTGGTGTCTGATGTGAGGGCTGCTCTCTCGGTTCCCAAGTTGGCACCTTGCTGCAGTGCACTCAGGGGGGATGAGTGCCGTGCCTTTGTATGGCAGAAGGCAGAAGGACAAAAAGCCGTAAACTCTCTCTGAAGCCCCTTTTGTAAGGGTATTAGTTCATGTGTGAGGGCAAAGCCTTCATGACTTAATCACTTTTCAGAAGGCCCCGCCTCCTAATACCACCACACTGGGCACCACGTTTCAACGTGAATTTTGGAGAGGACAAATTCAAACCATAGCAGAGACTGCAAGAAAGTCACACAAGAAGCAAGCTGCTTTTTCCCATATTCTCCTTCCCTTCTCCCTTTTTTTACCCCCGGGCTGGAATGCAGTGGCACAATCACTGCTCACTGCAACCTTGACCTCCTGGGCTCAGGCAATCCTCCTGCCTCAGCCTCCCGAGTAGCTGGGACTACAGGTGTGTGCCACCAGTCCTGGCTACTTTTTTTCTTTTTTTGTAGAGATCAGATCTCGCTATGTTGTCTAAATTGGTCTTGAACTCTTGGGCTCAAGCAATCCTCCCACCTCATCCTCCCAAAGTGCTGGGATTACAAGTGTGAGCCACTGCGCCCAGCCCTTTTTCTTTATGCTTAATCTAATTCATTAGCCTGACTGTGTCACAGTCTGTCCTGTCGGTGGACATTTTTGTGAGGGGTATAGCTTAACAACTAATTATTGGTCGTGAACCACAGGTAATGTGCTCCTAGATTTGACCCACGATGCCAGCAAAGTGCCACATCAGTCATGGCTCTGTTTTTGGCTCCTTGTTCTGAAAAGCATCATAAACCAAGTTGCCCCACTTGGTGACCAGGGCCCCACTGAGTTCTGGTGGGTGGAACTCGATCCTGGCTCCGTTGGTCCCAGCCTCTGTCAGTGTCAACACCCTGGTAGTTGTCACCCTGTAGGTGTCCTCTGTATCATGCAACCCACTCTTTCTTTTGCTTTTCCAGTTGATGTGAGAAGTCCAAGTTCAACAGATCCTGATCATGAAACACCTGGAGTGCAGTGACGCCACACAGACTGTGACACTTACACTTGTGACAGCAGCAGGGCAGTGTGACTTGTGCCCTGTGTAGGCCCAGCGGGGTGTCTTTGGGGGCCTGGGGAGCCCTGAGGCTGCCCCGCCCCCAGCGCTTTCTGCTTACCTCCCTCCCCCCAGCTGCAGAGTGTGGCCAGGTTGTTTGGTTACAGGGGAGGCATGGACTGAGAGAAGTCGACTTCCCCTCCTTCCCTTTTTTTTTTGAGTCAGGGTCTTACTCTGTTGCCCAGGTTGGAGGGCAGTGGCACGATCATGCTTCACCGCAGCCTCGACCTCCTGGACGCAGGCGATCCTCTTACTTCAGCCTCCCAAGTAGCTGGGACTTTAGGCATGTGCCATCGTGCCTGGCTAATTTTCTTATTTTTTGTGAAGACAAGGTCTCATTGTGTTGCCCAAACTGGTCTTGAACTCCTGCCTCAGCCTCCCAAAGTGCTGGGATCACAGACTTGAGCCACCAGTGCCTTGCCTCCCCTTTGATGTGACTGCAGCTGAGGGTCTTCGGGACACCCTGAGATGTTGCTGGCTGGGAGGATCCGGAGGGTTGGGCTGCCCTGGGAAAATCGGGTGGTGCGCTGTTTTGGGGTGAGTAACACAAGCTCTTGTGTTTCTCTGTTTTTTCGTGTTATTTTGAGCCATAACAGAGAAGTCTTTCCAAGCCTGTGTACAGGTCAAGGAGTGACAACATCAGGCAGGTCCTCATCTGAGCCACTAGCTGCTGCCCAGATCTTGAGCCAAGGAGGGAGGCAGCCTCCAGCCACACTTGTCAGGGCTCAGCTGTATGCTGGGCACCCAAGGCCAGCTTGCCCTAAGCCGAGGACTCAGAATGGGAGGACAGGTGCCCAGCACATCTGGCCTAGGAGTCATCTGAGGGCACACGGGGAAGGATTTGCACTCAGGCTCTGGGGCAGACCACTTAGAATTCTGGTCCCAGCCTGGCCACTCTAACTATGTGACCTTGCTCATACTGTTGCACCTCTCTGAGCCTCAGTTCCCCCCGCTGTTAAATAAGTATAAGGAGAGCACTGTTTTGCAGGAGTATTTGGAGACAGAAATAAGCACTTAGCATAGTACCCAGTGCACAGTGGCCCCAGTGGACTGTCAGGGTCCGCTCACTCCTATGGGAAAGGTCCACTCTATTCTCACACCCTGAGCTGTAGCAGCTGTGGCTGGGAGGGTAGGGCAGGGCCTTGGACCCATCACTGACCCAGGATGCGCCACTGAGGCCAGGTGAACTGATCAAGGAGTAGAACTTAGCTGCTACATCCCATGTCTCTGGCACGGACCATCCTCTGCCTCCCCCCATCCTCAGACAGCCTCCAGATGGGTGAGGGGTGGGGAATGGAGACCTAGGAGCCTGGTGGACCTGGAGGGGATGCCCTGGATCTGAGCCTTGAATAGAGGATGCTGGTTGACTCAGATTTCTAGGAAAATGGGTATGTGGGCTTCCCCCACTGTCTTGGTGAGACACTGGAACCCCTAGCACTCAGAGAACCACTAGAGGTCTTTCTTGGTGACACCACTAGTGCCATCAGCTGTGAGGTCCTCAGCACCCCTGTGGAGTCACGCTGGGATGTGGTGGGAAATGTAACTGGAGGCCGGGGTGGGGGGGAGTATTTTCCAGGTGACCCTGATCCCGTGCTTTTTTTTTTTTTTAGTCAAGGTCTCACTCTGTCACCCAGGCTGAAGTGCAGTGGCATGATCATGGCTCACTGCAGCCTCAACCTCTTGGGGTCAACAGGTCCTTCTGCCTCAGCCTCCTGAGCAGCAGGGACTACAGGTGTGTGCCACCATGCCCAGCTGATTTTTTATTTTTGTAGAGACAAGGTCTTGCTCTGTTGCCCAGGGTGGTCTTGAACTCCTAGGCTCAAGTGATTCTCCTGCCTTGGCCTCCCAACGTGCTGGGATTACAGGCATGAGCTACCATACCCAACTCCGTGCTTTTGATATGTGATCTAAGTAGAGCTCCCAGGCAGCTGATTTCCGTAGTGACCCTGGAGGTTCTCTTGGAGTTGCAGTTGGCCTTGCTGCTGCAGAGATGCTGGGTCTGTACCAAACCAGACTTCCGGTGAGGCCCTAAGGTCCCTCCTAGTTCTGAGACCCTTTGGCTTCACCAGCCCAGGACCAGCAGTCCTGTGAAGCAGTGGCCCTCAGCCTCGGGGCACATTGGAGTTTCCTGGAGAGTTTAAGAACTTCTGATGCATTTGTCCCACCACCAGAGGTCCTGGCTCAGTGGGTCTTGGGCATGATCTTGAACCTTGGGCTTTTAGAAATCTGCCTCGGTGACTCTAACATGTGACCAGGGTCGAGAACCACTGGCAGAAAAGCAGGCCATCTAATAATAATTAATAAATGCAGTGTATGTGCTAGGCACTGGGCTAAGCACATGATATACATTCTGTTCTTTGATCTTCATGACAATTCCCATTTTCCAGATGAAGAAACATGCTCAGTGCGGCTAAGTGACTTTCTAAGGCCAGAGAGAGGTAAGAATTGGCGTTGGATCCCAGGGCTGTCCAATTTCAGAGTTGTGGCTGGTCACCACTGTGATGACCACTCTTGAGGCAACACAGAGCAGAAGCCAGGGACACATCTAGGGCAAACTCCAGAGGGAGCCCTGAGACCCACCCAGGGCTCCCTGGACCCACTCTGAGGTCTCCAGCCCTGTGCTGCACAGCCTCTTGTCTGCCAACGAGGTTGCTGGGAATCTGGTGGGGTCGGCTGCTTTCTGGGGCCGGTCTTGGGCCACTTGTGGGGCCTACCTGGTCATTTGGGAGATCTAGAGCCTCAGGCCCTAAGCTCAGAGATGTGGAATCCTATGCTCAGCTCTGACGAACTTTTAACCCGTGACGGAGGGGCTGGGACTGTCCTCCCCGGAAAGCAGGGAGGGGCTGGGAAGCACATTCTGTTTACCAGGTGCTTTTGGTTTATAGCAGACTCAGAAAAAAAAGCCAGGAACCATCTGTAAGACAGGACCAGAACCTTTTTATTGCAGTTTCATCAAAATTTAGTGAGAGGCAAACCCAGCGGGTACCTGCTTTACTGGCAGTAAAAGAAAATTGGGCAACAATTATTTAAAAAGAGCTGGAGCTGTTTAAATCAAGAATGCAGGGTTATGTGTATGCTGGGAAAGTTCACAAGGCCTGGGGGTTTGGGTTGAAATGTTTTTGATGAAAATGACATGGAAAATATTTTCCTTTCTTATTGTAAGCCTTCCCTTTGCTGTTCGTTTCCTAAATTTAGCAGTCCAGAAAGCAATAAGCAAATCTAGCTGGGGGGAAAAATCAGAAGCAAGTCGGGAAGTTTCAAAGTCTAATCAGAGTGGTAGACTGAGAAGAAAACTCTCCAAGATGAGAAAACAATATTCCCACTTGATAGAACAAAGTCATTATTTCAACTTAAACAATTGCTGATGTGACTGACCTTATTGGACATGGAAGTGCTGGGTTTGGCCCTCCCTAAAAGCAGAGACTGAGGAGGGAGGTGACTGTCTGCCTATCAGCCAAGAATGCTCTGCAGGAGCTGGGAGGATGTGGGAGGATCATGAGGCCATCACTCACTGTCTCCCTATCCCTCACTCCTCACCATGGCAACACCAGGGCTCCTGAAATTGAGGTCCAGATGGAGCCCCTGTCTGAAAGCCTGAACACAGCCCAGCCTGCTGGGGAAGGCTGGGAATGCCCCACCTGGCTCTGAACTCAAACCACTGGCCGAATGCCAGAGACCAGCCTGGTTGATGTCTTGGAAGTGGAGGCTGCCACCGATGCCTGTCATTGTCATTGGTGACTGTTGGATCTTGTTGTTGTTTTGATTGTTTTTACTTTTGGGGAAATATTTTTTTATTATTATTATTATCATCATCATTATAAAGATGTGGGATGCAATTCAGGGTTAGGTATACAAACATTGATCATGCAGGTCCCCTTGTTGATGAGGTGTGTCCCTCCCTTCCCTAGCAGTTTCCCTCAGCTGCCAATCCCACCCTCTTCTCCTGACAGTTTCCCACTACTGCCGATCCCTTTCTTATAGTATTATAATTGTTCAAGGTTCACTTATGAGTGAGGGAAAGATTTTCTGTGCCTTAAAAGGACTGATCTATCTGAACTTTTGGTTACTAGAGAAGGATACTCAACTCAAACTAGTTTAAGAATAAAAAAATAGGTAGGTAGATAGATAGATAGATGGATAGATGAATAGATATAACCCATGCAGTGATGTTAGAGCTCTCTTTCCATCTCTTGTTCTGATTGCTTCTTTTTGGTTAATTCTTCAGACAAGATTTCTCCCTGTGATGGGCAGGAAGATTCTCATTTTCCAAGCTAGGCAGTGCTGATGGAAAGAGCTCATTGTATAGAAAAGTCTTGGGGAAGGTTCTGATTGGCCCACATCAAACCATATGACCATTCCTAAACCAATCATGGTGTCTATGGGTGCACTAATGAGATTACCCTAGCCAGGATCTTGTGGTTACCCCTGTGGTAGTGCTTGGAGTATTGGTGGGAAAGGAGGACAGTGAGTGACAGCCCTGCCAGGAATTTGAGACCAGCCCGGGCAACTAGTGAGAACTCATCTCTGCAAAAAGTAAAGTAAAATAATTAACTGGGCATGATGGCACCTGTAGTCCCAGCTACTCAGAGACTGAGATGAGAGGATTGTTGGACCCCGGGAGGTTGAGGCTACAGTAAGCTATGATTGCACCACTGCAATCCGGTCTGGGCAACAGAGGGAGATCTTGTCTCTTAAAAAAAAAAAAAGAATTCCATCAATAGCCTCAAGTTCCCTCACTCCCTCCAGAAAGGGCAGTTCTATCCAGTGACTCCAGCCCAGGATTGCCAGTATCTAGGCTGGTCCAGACATGGCCCCCTGGCCTGCAGCCAAGTGCCACAGGGTGGATTTCCCCTTCACCAACAAGCTCAGCAAGGGATGTGGATGGCTGAGCAGGAAGCTCACTGCTGGAAGAGGGGAGGAGGGAAACAGCACTCACTGGGCACCAGTTCGTGTCACATGACATCTGTGGGCTTCTGCCCCAGAGGGGATCAGTGTGGTTGAGGTCAGTCCTCCAGCTGCCCAAGCTCTGAGCTTTGGGTGGAGCCTCCTTCTCCCTGATCCTCTGTGGCCAAGCTCGATGCAGATAGGGCAGGAAGAGGCTGGATTCCTGGGCTCCTCTCGTGGGATCCACGCGGTCTTTCAGTTATTTCCACATCGCTAGCCTCCTGCACAGCATCGATGAGTAGCCGGTTTTCAACTAACGTTTGTGGAGCTGATGCCAGCGGAATGCCCACTGGATACCACCTGTGACACACAGGACAGAGGTCTGTCTCAGGCTGTGGGGCCTGGGGGGCACCCAGGGCAATTTTGTGGATTAGTGACTTGGAGGACTGCCGTGGCACTGCTGCAGGAGACACAGGGGCTTTGGATGACTTCCTTTTGAGATGCTGAGTTAGAAGCCCTCATGGAATATTCAAAGGCTTGAAGTCTCGAGATCAAAGACAAGTTGAAGGCAGCAGGAGGAGGTGGAGAGCTGCGGAGGAGGACTCATGGCCTGGGCATGTGGAGAGGGGTCAGGCGTCAGAGGTGGAACAGCTCTGGGTGGTGATGGGCGAGGCCCGGATGTAAATGCCCTGCAGAGGCCATGGAGTTGCCAGGAGCCACTCACTGCCAGCCCTGCCTCAGTGTCCCCTCCACTTGGCAGGCTCAGGGCCATGGACACTTCAGCTCCAAACTCAAGGGACATCCGGGTCGCCCTGGGAGGAGGGCTGTGGCCTCTGGGAGGGAGCGGGACTGCTGTGTCTGTGGCACCCTTCCCAAATGCTGTCTCACAGGCAAAGAGTGCAGCCCCAGACCTGGGCACCACCCGGAGAAGGGTTGACCCACTCAGAATCTCTGGCTGCGTGGAGGGAACAGCAGACCTTTCCAGCTAGCATCTTTGAGGCTGTCTGACTCCATTTTGAGACCTTGGGAGGGGCTTCTCTGGAGGGATCACTCTTTCACAACCTTTTCTGGCCCTGAGGAGGTGGTGAATGGGATAGGGAAGGGGAAATAGTTTCAGAAACGTGACTTTTTATTTTTTGAGTCAGGGTCTCTGTCACCTATGTGGAAGTACAGTGGCACAAACATGGCTCACTGCAGCCTTGACTTCCTGGGCTCAGCTGATCCTCTTGCCTCAGCCTCCTGGGTAGCTGGGACTACAGGTGCATGCCACCATACCTGGATAATTTTTCCTTTATTGTAGAAACAGGGTCTGGCTTTGTTTCCCAGGCTGGTCTCGAGCTCCTGGCCTCAAGCGATCCTCCTGCCTTGGTCTCCCAAAGTGCTGGGATTACAGGTGTAAGCCACCATGCCTGGCCAGAAACAGGACTTCTACTTCCTGGCCCATGGGAGGTGCTCAGTGGAATGTTGCTGATTGAATGAATGAGTGAGTGAGTAAACCCAAGCATTCATAAACAAATGGGTGAATGCTCAGGGGATCCAAAAGGTGCCTTGTCCCCGTAGATGGGTGGCTCTTGGTCAATGTTCATTAGGCAGTACGCAGAGTATGTGAGCACACAGAGGTCTCCAGAGCCCACAGAGTGGCTGAGTCCTAAATGAACAAACACGGTTCTTCCCCACTGTTGGCCTGTGGGATAGTGAGGTGCACGCTTGCCCTCTAGGCGCTTGAACAAGTAGGCCCTCCACAGTTTTTCTTGCATTTTAGCCCCTCAGCCTCCACTGGAGGCTACATTCCATGCTGGGAGCTGGCAGGAAGGTGGGGTGGGCAGCCTTAGCGGCTGGGCTCTTACTACCCTGGCAGAAGGACACAGAGGGTCCGTGCTCCCTTTCTTCCATCCTCACTCTCAGAGCGGGACAGCTTGGATCCTTCTAGCACCTCATGGCTCAAGCCAGAACATTCCTTCTCCCCCTCCTTCTACCTTTCCTGAAGTGGATTTTGAGTTCACGGCAGGGTGGTGGATCTGCCTCATCTGTCTAGTTCCAGGCGTAATACTGTCTCAGAATATTCTAGGACAGCCGCAGCGACCCACAGTCCCGAGCTTTGTGTCTAGGGATGCGGAGCAGTCCCAGGGGACAGGAGGAGGTATCCCTCCATGCTGCACCCTTGGGGAGTTTGCCACAGGCTCCTGGGACAGAAGGGACCCCTGAGAAGGCAACAGTACTACAAAGCCTCCTGGGACAGAAGGGACCCCCGAGAAGGCAACAGTACTGCAAAGTGGCTGCAGATCAGGCTCCCTGGGCCTTTGACGCTCCTGTCCTGCGAGGTGGGAGCTGGGCTCTTGGGGGGACACAGAGGCCCTGAGCTGCCCGTGGAGAGACCTTGTCTCACCCCACACTGGATTGCCCCCCCGCCCCCACCCCGGTTTGGCTGCTGGTTGGAGTCAAGGGACAGGCAGGGTTGGAGTGGGGGCGGGGCG